ACACAAACACACAAAGCTCACAGTGTGGGGCTCAGGGCAGAGTTTGGCAGCAAGAGCTATTCTAGAACAGGCCAGAGGCATCATAACCTCTTCTGTCACACAACTACGAGAGAGAGCAGGCCGCACCTGACTTCTCCTGCCCAGGTCAGCTAGTACTGGTTGAATGGAATGGTGGCACAAATGTGGACATTCAAGTCAGATAATACAGTGGGTACACAAGTTCTTCTAATCGCAGAGAAAAAGGGAAAACATAATTATCTTTTCTCCTTAGTCACATATTTGTCATGCGATGCCTGGGCATGTGCCCCTGCTGGCAGGGCAGGCATCCAATTCAAGTCAAGAAGGTCAGAAACGGCCAGGAGAGAAAACTCTGGATTTTAGTTTGCATTTCTTTCTTAGGTTACATTTCATAAACGTCCACGGTGCTCTAGAAATGTGACGATGCTCAGCTATCAGAAAGACTAGCATCTGAGGTCTTAAAGGCTTGTCTTTAAAAAAGCAGCCATCTAAGTAAGGCTTCAACTAAATCCACAAGGAAGAAGCACAACAGCCTGTGTGAGCCAAGGGCTGTAAATACTAAAATCCAAATCTGAAGGAGGACTGGATGGCAGCTGAAATCCAAAACCCACTCGCTGAGTCCCCAGTTGCATGGATCCTCTGGTGAATCCCTTCTGATCTTAGTTCAGGGATATGAATAGCTTTGTTCTCAGAGGGCTTTGTAGGGTCAATTATGGCAGATGTAGTTAGGTTAAAATATATTATCTTTATCATTTGGTCTCCCTTTTGACCCATTTTAAAATTGTTTCCGTTTTTAATATTTTATGACTTTTTTTTATTAAGGTTTTTCTGTTTTGTATAGTCATTGTTGGGTTTTTGTTTGCTTGCTCTTGCATGTGTTTTGTATGATTGTTTATATGTGAAATTCAGGATAGGTAAATCTACAGAGATAGTTAACTGGGTTGATAACTAACTACCTAAGGGCAATGGCAAAGGAGGATGGGGGAGATGGGAAGCTAACAGAAATGAGCATGAGAAGAAAATGTTCTGAAATGGATTTTGGCGATGACTGCACAAATCTTTTTAAAAATTTTTTATTTATTTATATTTTTAATCATTTTATTGGGGGCTCATACAACTCTTACCACAATCCATACATCCATCCATTGAATCAAGCACATTTGTAGCCATTATCATTCTCAAAACATTTGCTTTCTACTTAAACTCTTGGTATCAGCTCATTTTTCCCCTCCCTCCCCACCCCACCCTCCACCCCATGAGCCCTTGATCATTTATAAATTATTATTTTTTCATGTCTTACACTGTCCAACGTCTCCCTTCACCCACTTTTCTGCTGTCCATCCCCCAGGGAGTGGGTTATATGTAGAGCCTTATAATCAGTTCCCCCTTTCCAACCCACCCTCCCTCTACCCTCCCAGTATCATCACTCTCACAACTAGCCCTGAAGGGATCATCTGTCCTGGATTCCCTGTGCTTCCAGTTCCTATCTGTACATCCTCTGGTCCAGCCGGATTTGTAAGGTAGAATTGGGATCATGAGTTGGGGGAGGAAGCATTTAAGAACTACAGGAAAGTTGTCTATGTTTCATCATTGCTACACGATTGTACAAATCATAATATGACTGAAAGATTAAATTATATATGTGAAATATATGCCAATAAAAGTAGTTAAAAAAAAAACTGCCATAAGCTTTCCCCTTAATCTTGGCGAGTCACGAAAAGTAGGCAGTTCTGCCTTGCTGCTAATTTGCAATTATTTGAAGATCTTTAAATCCAAGTATGAAAAAAAGGAAGGTGTGACCACCATTCTCGTGTGTGTGTTTAAAATTTTGTCACCGTTAAGATCATTGTCTGTGTGCTTTTGCAATGACTCAAGGTTGTAAAGTGGCCCAAAAAAGACCAAGAATATCAATAGCAGGAAGGAATTTCGTCACCAAGTCTATTTGAGTCAGTGCGATGATTAAAAATAAGGCTCTCGGTATAGAAGAACCACCCTTCCTCTAACTGAAGACCGAAGAGCTCAGTCGGCTTTCTTTAAAAATAGCAGATACGATGACGGCACCACTCAACCACCAGATCCAGCAATTCTGACAGCGAGGGAGCCTGAATCATGGGCAGCGTGTTCACCGTGAATTGACTTTCTTCTCAAAAGAGTGTTCAATACAAACATTCTTCTCTTTTTTAGGGGAAAAAAAAGATTTGGAGATCAAGGACACACATTTGGGAGGTTTGTTAAGTTGCTGAATTAAAAAATGATCTGAACCTACCCCCACCTAACTACACAACAAAAAGTTAAAAAACAAAGCAACAAAACAAGCAGGTGGATGGGACCCCTGTGGTGGCAGCAGTCCCTGGGTGGAGGGAGGAGAAATCTTTACCTGGGTCTAGGGCCCTCGACCAGACAGGAAAGGGTTGGCTTGCCCATTCCACGTAGACTCTGGGGTGAGGAATGTTCCAGAACAGCATTCCACTCTGAAGAGCGACCTGCCCATTTGTTTTTGAATAAAACATATTTGCCAAACTCATCAAGGACGGGGGCTTTGTTCTTCAGTAAGACCTTTGGCTCTGAAGCTGCCTGGGCGCGCGCTCGCACACGTGCCTCACAGGAGGTCTCGTGAGAGTCCCTGTGTACCATAGGGCTCAAGAGACCCTGCTGGGCTGGGCAGCCTCTGGAGGCTCTCCAAGAACAAGAGGCACAGGTGGCTCCCGGCGCCTAGGATCTTCCTGAACACCATGTGGGCATGGAGGCATGGACGCAGACTCACCTGGCCGAGGAGCGGAACTTCACCCCACTGATGCTCTCGGAGCACGTGCATATAGCTTTCTGGCGGACGAGTCTGTCTACTTTATACGGCTTGAAAAGGCTCATCCACTGGACATCAGACATGTACCCGGGGGCCTCAACCACAAAGTTGCTTGGGCGGCAGCACTTGGATTCAAAGATGTCACTTTCGCTCAGACAGGCCTCACTGTTCGGGCGGTAAGATGTCTCCGGCCTGTCCTTTGGCTCCTGACAGTCCTCACTGGGCTTTTCAGGTGGTCTGGAGTCGGAGAGGGGAACCAGGCCCAGGTACACACTGACATCATGCCACTGCTTTTCATCAGCTAAGCACACCTCAGACAGGTGTTTCTCTTGGTTTGAAGTCCCCGACTCGCCAGCTTTGGGTGATTTTGTATGGATCTTACAGAACAGGCCTTTGTTCTCAGGTTCAATTTGGAGTTTTCCTCCCAGAGACCAAGACTTTGGCTTCTCCACTGAGTCTTTTGCAAACAGAGATGAAAGAGTTGTTACACCTTTTTCCCCAAAGGAGGGGCTAACCTGCAGTTTCTTCTCTTTGCAAACATCGTAAGAGCTCTTGTCGGACCTGTTTTGCTGAATCAACAGGGTCTCAAATGTTTGGTCCTTAACCAGTAACTTCTGCTCTTTCTCCCTCTTAACAGCGGCTTTGGAGTGGCTAGTTTCAAGGTCTGACAAACACATGTTTCCGCTATGATGGCATTACAAGAAACGGAAGTTACAACAGGCATTTGCCCCTATTGTTGCTCTACATCTCGTTCAAACCTCATTAGCAGAGCTAGACCCCAGGTAAGGCTCAATTCTCTGAAGTGAAACATAAGGCGCCCTCCTCTAGGAGCCCTCCATGACCACCCGGCCCAGAGCACCTCCGCCCTCTTCTCTTCCCTACTTCCCACTGACCATGCCGTCCCTGTCGCTGTCATCTCACAGTCCTCCTCTTACTGCTCGGTCAGCTAGTTAATCAGGCAGCAAATTTCCTGCTAGAACTCTGCTGGTGAATGGCAGGTTCACACTCGGATCCTATCTTCCCAGTGGACTCTGGTTTTCTTATGGGGAAATGTCATTGTTTTTAAATTCCCCTTGGCACATAGGCCAGCCTTTGATGTATAGTTAATGTTCTATAATTGCTTGTTGGTTAGATAATAGGCTATTTTCTTTCCTAATTCCATTACTTTCACAGGAAGTGGGAGATAAAAATAGGATGAGTAGGTGATGGTTAATGACTTAGAGAGAAAATTGTCAAGAGCCGCCTGTTTATCTCACAGCATTCACCAATGTCCCAGCTACAAAATGGGCTGGGCAACTTATAAAGCTATATATTGAAAGCTGATTGAAAAGAAAAATGATACAAGTGCATAAAACACAAAATAGGAGCCTGCTTAACTGCACTAACCCTTCTAATAAACACTTCTTCCTTGTTCCTGTGCAGCAGCTGGTGGTGAGCTACGGACCTTGCAGTTGGCAGCCCAACATCTAACTGGCTTCCGACAAAGCGCAGTGATGGTGAGGTACCAAAAGCAGAGGGCCCATCTGCAAAGAGACACTGCTGGCAATAGAACACATGGGACTTGGTGACAACGGGGATGTGGTAACTGCTGGGAGGCAGATCCCAGAGACACCAGCCCCCACAGGCTGCTCAGAGGAAAAAACCCCGCACAGCCAAGTGTCCAACCCATGGCCCTGCCTGAGGCAACCACTGCCACTACATGAGCTTGACAATTTCTGGTGTCCACAACCCTGAATGCAGTCCCCAGGGAAAGGAGGACCCTCCCTCAGAAAGTAGTCTGAATTTGTGTCACTGTGGTATGTTGACATGCCTATTAAGTGGAACCATATTTCGTATGTTTCTACTTTAAGCTTATGAATGCCAACTTAATTCCTTCGCTGGTGGCTATAGGAGAGATTCTCCTTCCATGTCAACAAGAAAGGCAGGGAAGAGCAGAGATCACTCCCAGCGAAAAAGGGAATCTTTCCCATCTTCAAGCTGCAATGGCAGTTATTTGTTCCCCGGCACTTTCTTACATGTACGAACCAGACCTATAAAGAGTACTCAATAAACATTTGTTGCCTGAATGACTCATTCACTTTAGCAGTTCCTAACTCCGGCTCAAAGTTCTTCTACACAACAGACACACAAATCATGCTTAATGAATTTACCTTCATCAACTGACTAAAGGAGGAGAAAGTCTCCAATTCTGAGATCAGGTCTCGTTCCAACCTATCATGACAAGTATGCACTAGCTGACATACACTCTTTCTCTACAACCTAAGGAAAAGGGGAGTAGGCACTGGCCCATTCTACGTAATCAATAAATATTGACTGAAGGATGAACTACACCACTAGATGGTATTGACAGCAGCTTACCTAGATTCGAGGACCTTGGATTCCTCCATCTTTGAGTCATATAGCTGTAAGAATTCCTGAGAATTTTCCACATTGAAGTGAAGAAACTGCAGGTCCCGCTGCTGTTTCACGTAGATCTAAGTGCATACAGAACACAGTGACAAGCTGGCTAACATGGGGCAATACAGTGGGTAGAGAAGCTAAGTGTGTCTGTTTTTACTGGCTGTCTATCCGTCTGACCAGTCAGTCTCCTTGCCTTTAGTCCCAGAAGCAAGACTTGGGTCTGTTAACCTTTAGTTCCTAGGAGGCCAAGGTATTACCTGAGGACAGGAAACATGACCGATGTCTCATGTAACTCAGGACTCCAAAAGAACATAGAAGGACAATGAAGAGGCCCTGGTCTTGGGAGCAGGGTGGCCGGGACATACCTGTCTCAGATTGTGCAGTTCCGTGTTTGTCCGCTCTTGCTTTGACTTTGCAATATCTAGCAAATCATCCTTCCTCTTTTCTCTTTCTGCTGTTTCAGAACAAATGGGATAAAAAGTTAGTGAATCAGCCATATCAATACCAGTCTCTCCATCCTCACCACCCTGTGGGATGCTCAGCCAACATTCTCCTCTTCCTACCCACCCCCCCACCTTGATCCCGAATTTTAAAATGGCAGAATAGTTGCTGCAAAGAGTCCTAATCTGTCCTTCCAGCTAGATTCTTCATCAAATGGGTAAAACTCATGATATAATTAGTGCTAAGTGGAAAAAAAAAAGATTCAAACCTTTCACTGCGGGCTAGACCAGGTACACAGGTACAGGTAAGATATAAGGAATGGGAGTAGCGATACCAGGAAGGTAGGGGGAAGGAGGGGAGAGGTGGGGAGGAAGGGGAAAGCGATTGCAAAGATTGACACATAACAACACACACACACACACACACACAC